GGGAGACAAATGATTAGAAATGCTACATGGCCAACGGAAAAGGGCGGACACCAGCAGTAACGGACCTGGGAAACAAATGAATAGAAATGCTTCATGGCCAACGGACAAGGGCGGACACCACCAGTGACAGACCTGAAAGACAAATGAATAAGAAATGCTACATGGCACCAGCAGTGACGGACCTGGGAGACAAATGAATAGAAATGCTTCGTGGCTACATGGCATGGCCAACGGAAAAGGGCGGACACCAGCAGTGACAGACCTGGGAGACAAGTGAATAGGAATAGGAAAAGGAAGGACACCACCAGTGACAAGCCTGGGACACAAATTACACCACCGTAGGCCCCAAACAGGTGGGACAACAACGAAGCATTCCCAAGTCCACCTTTTGGGACATCAACAAGAAAGGGAAGCAAGAAGGGAGACAAAAGGAAGAAGGAAACAGAAGGATTACAGAATTGAGACAAGGCGGACACAATGACCAACAACAAAGGAGACAAGAAGGCCAGCAAGAAGCGAGACAAGACCGGAGACAAAGTGAGACAGAAGGGAGAGAAGGCGGACACAATGACAAACAAGAAGGGAGACAAGAAGAGAGCAGTGACACAAACGGCGGACACATCTTAAGAAAGAATTGAGAACCCCTAACAGTAAACTGTTTGGGGAAAAAGTTTGAGACAAATGCAAGTGGGAGACAAGCCGCCGGAAACCGACTACAAGAAGGAAGTGGGAGACAAGCCGGCCGGGAACCCGACCACAAGCACCCAGCCTGACACCACCAGTGACAGACCTGGGAGACAAATGAATAGAATTGTTGAAAGGAAGTGGGAGACAAGCCGGCCGGGAACCCGACCAGACCATCCAGCACCAAGGCAACCATTCTTTAAAGCATTGAGAACCCCTAACCGTAAACTGTTTGGGGAAAAACACAAAGGACACAAAAATCAACCAGCGACGATACAATGATTCTATTTGAGGAGGGGGGTAGGCCTGAAGAACGGGGTAGGTAGGTAGCCAGTAGTAGTGAAGCTCAGTAGTGACCGAAACCTTCTAGCCGGAAGCAAAAGAACTAGAAACATTAAAGGAAATGTTTCCGTCTACATGTTTAGGGAAATTACTGCAAGCTCCTGCGGTTGTTTACGAAACATGATTGCGTTCGATGAGGGAACCATGCCAATACACTGCTCATACCCTCGTACCTTGAAAATACTGTTCCGTATTGTTTGGGCCAAAGGTCCCAAAACCTTGAAGAACTTGGAACTTCGATCTATATACACTCACCTCGACAACTGGAATTCCATCATTGCGCCCAGCTTCATTCAGAGTTTTCCCCAGTTGAGTTCAGCAGAAATCAGGCTGTCAGTCTCAACTGCAATAGTGTCAGCAAGAGCTTTGGAACCAATACACCTTTTCGACATCAATACGACATCAATACATGCCTCACATTGGTGAAACTAGTTGCGGGGGTACTGGGTACTAGGATTGGGACTGTGGCAATCAAACGTAGCCTTGAAAGACGGATGAGCGAGAAAAGGAAGCCTAACAACGCAAGATCTCAGTCATACCAACTGAAGAGAGCAAAACAAGCAGACTGTCTAACCTGGGGCTGATGATGACGACGATGACAACGATGATGATGATGATGATGAAAAGCAGTGTGCCAAGCGCAGCACAGTTTGCCGCATGTGTCATGACTATCGAGAATATCAAGTTGTGATTAGCTTAGGATCTCGGGACTCTTTCTCCGAGCAAACATTGTCATAACAGTTTGTGATCATTCATCAATCCACAAAAAGTTCTCGGAAACGTCGAATGTAAAGCTATGAACTGTACATATATATATATATATATGTTATATACCGTACAAACATATATATATATATGGAAGTTTAGAGGAACTTCCGCGTTACGAACATTTACATTAGCTGTAATTCTAGTTAATTGTTCTACCACTGATCTCTAGCTCTAGTTCATTGTTCTACCATTGATCTCTTGCTCTAGTTAATTGTTCTACCATTGATCTGTAGCTCTAGTTCATGGTTCTACCACTGATCTGTAGCTCCAGTTCATTGTTCTACCATTGTCTGCAAGTTGCATGGAAGTGTCGCGGAAATGCTTCGGTTCATACAGTTGCAAGTTGCATTTTGGAAGGAAGTCTCGCGGCATTGCTTCGTTTCACACATGCGCAATTTGCATTTTTCGTGGCATGCGCAGCACTTTGTGAACCTCAAAGTGCAGATTTCGTGGCGGCAGGCACAGCACTTTGTGAACCTCCATGCGCAGATGTCGTGGCGCACAGCACTTTGTGAACCTCGATGCGCCGATGTCGTGGCAGGCACAGCACGTCACACATCTGCAACTTGCATTTTTGAAGGAAGTCTCGTACGAAATGCGTTATTGAAAGATAGCGGATGCACGAAATGCTGAGTTTTTGCGTGCGAAATGCTTCTCCGAACCTTGACGGGGAAGCTCCGCAGAACGACGGTTTCAGGGGCGGTTCGGATACAACAACCTGAGCCTCTGAGGTCGTCGAACATCATCCATCCTGCCCCGAGGCCAAGGGCCTGTAAGTGACCTGCCTCGTCAATTCCATGGTGGGCAACTGCAGCAACAAAAATGAAGGGCTGATGTACACATCCCAAGTTGACTTCTGGATGAATTGGGAGCCAAACACGGTGGTTCACCTCCAGCTCCCTGAGTGATCCAGGAATGCGCAGGCATGCCAGGCGGCTGCAAGCTGAGAAAGTGGTTTGCATACCAAGGTAGTCACGCCGGTTCGATCTTTTCCGTGTGATCCGGTGCGCTCACAGGTGGTGGGTTGTGAGGATCCCCTTGATCCTTGATCAGGATCAAATCCCCTTCCTGCGCAACTTGCTTCCAGGAGCCGTTGACACACGAGGGCTTGGTCCATTTAAGGAACTGGCCCAAGAATTCATGAAGGTCTTGCTGCCCCATTCCACAAAAACGCAAAAAAAAAGCACTGAAGGGAGGGGAACACAACACCCTTCAGAGAAACCCACATGGACTCAAGTCCACTACTTCATAATTGGAGTCCTGATCGGAGGCCTTCAGAGACTTGAATCTGACCACCCCTCCATGCTGGTGATCGAGATTGGTGATTTGTTCATCACCTGAACTTGTCGGTCTTTTTGATTCCAGCTCAGGTAGTTCCAGCAGCCACTCTCTGTAATGAGCTGATGTCGAAGGGCTTCCTGCCAGATCTCCATGCTTGGCTGGGACTGGGCCACTTTCAGCATTCTGTCCAGCAGCGTTTGAGTGATCATAGTGATTGCAGAAGAGTAGCCGTCTTCTGCTCTACTTCCTGCTTCCATGAGACCGTGGCTGGTTGATCAGCGGGATGATGCCTGATGCTCCCGGTTGAAGGAACAGGATGAAGGTGTCCTGAACCGCGATGGCTTGGAGCTGACTTTCGTGACGCAAGGCCAAAGTGGCTAGAAGTTGGACCATCCCTGGAAGTTGGTCTGGGGTATCTCTTGACGCCGCGTCGTTCTCGTGCTTGGGTCTCTTCAGAGATTGAGGTCGGGAGCCGTCCAGCAGACTCCCAAAGGTGTCTGCTCGAGACTCAGTGAACAATGCAGCTTGTGCCATGATCCTTGCAAGCCATTGGCAATGGTTCCTCATTTGCGTGACCACCATGGTGATCTTATGCCCGCTGCACTGGATCTCATGCCTCGGCGTCACAGCCCCGCACCGTTTTGCTGTACGTACTGTTGGAACACCAACGAACCGGTGGATCCTTGTCCACTGACGCTGAACCTTGCAGGAAGGCTGTTAGATCTCGGCCGATGGGCCAACTGACACCAAGCTTTGTCATTCCAGTAGACTCAGTAGACAGTCGGGTCATTGGATGGCTCCGCAACCTGCTCCTCTAAATCATTCTGGGTAACAGCAAGGCGCAATAGCGCCAATTGAGTGAAGATCACGAATCTGTGCCATTCTTCCTGGAGTGATTGCCACATAGACACGGTTTGCCACAAGCAACTGCTGTGTTGTGATATCTGGTTTCCAGAGACTGCGCCTGTTCACGCATTGCAGCATGATCTTGTGCAAGATGCTGGGCAA